ATTGGATTTTACATACTCTGAATGCACATGTGTAGTGTGTTGAAGTGTACTATACGTATCCGCAGTAAGATGATTCCAATTGGCACTGGTTTAGTATATGAATAAATGTTGTCAGCTGGCCAAATGTATTCCAAATGGCATCATATCTATGGCTGGGAAAAGTTCAGAAATTGTTCTTACGTCTTGGCATGGACAATGTAACGAAGATGAGACAGGTGTGTAGTCAGTTCTGCATCATCAACCAGGCTATGCTTACATGATGCGCAATTCTGCCCTGAAGTTTGTCATGCATTATTGTCTTCGGACTACCATCATTCTGGTTCAATTATACCTCTGGCTCTGTGTCGGTATGGTTTGTGCAATGCTTCTGATGCTCCAAGGGAGATAATGGCTTGTATGGCAAACAAGGAGAGAGAGGAGACGATGGCTTGAAGGTACGGTGGAGTATAATGGCAGTTAGAGTATTGCCTCAGCTTTGGCTCACATCATTTCACTCCCTAGGATTGTATTTATGGCTTTCTCCTGTGAAAGTCTTCTGTTCTGGCCATCATCACTGTTGCTCGTTTGTGTTCATTTGCTGTCTTTCCTCCATCCTGCTTGAGTTTTCATTCAATGTTTTCATTGACATGCCCAGAAGACGATGCAGTAGACATTGCTGCTACCTCAGAGGGTGTGACATGCTTAGATAATGATGGTGACGGAGCGCTGCCTTGCATGTACTGCACGGAGCATAGTCGTATCAAGACTGCAGGATCAAACAGACCATTGAGAATCACGTGACAATCAAACACGTCTTCTTCAAGACAAGCACCAAGGGACCGATGGAATTAGTTTGCAACAGCAGGGAGTGTTATTCAGACATCATATAAAGTGAATGTGCAGATATTACACAAAACAGAGTCAAAATGCACTTCATTTAGTTTTGTTTAGCTAAAGTTTGTCTTTTCAGTGTTGTTCTTTGGAGATTCCATGGTACTCGTTTCGTGAATAGTATCCCCTTTACACCATTTAGGAGCCCTTAGCATCAGTCTTGTGACTCAGGTCTCGGAGCAGAGGGAACTTGTCTATGCTTTTTTATGTCCTGTTTTCTCTGTAGGGATTTCGTGGAGATCCTGGCCCAGCAGGTGCAACAGGACTAGATGTAAGTAATTATGAGTGCGAGTGAAGGAAGTCATAGTGCACTAACCGTTTGTTTGCTGAGAGCTGGATCTGAGAAGTCATAGTGCACTAACCGTTTGTTTGCTGAGAGCTGGATCTGAAGGAGGCCGGGTAGCATTATGGTGAATACATTGGAGAGCGTATCCAGTAGTCTACCGTACTCTGCACATTGCCCTATGTTTGCACTCCGTCCTAGTTCTGCAGCTGGTTGTCATTCTCCCTGTGTGCTGCATATGCTGTGTCCTGTCAGGGTCCGAAAGGCCCGGCCGGAATTGAAGGCGATGACGGTGCCCAAGGAGAAAAGGTATAGTTTACCACTTCGGGCCGACTGGATGCGGTCCGAGGCATGGTTCATTCGTGTATCATCACTGTGTGTTGGAATGTGTTCAATTCTCCCTGTACATGTCCATGGCTCATGTGTATGATACTTCTGAAGGCCAATGTCCTTCTTTATCCACCGGTCTCGTCTGCTCAATGCTTACCTAGATTTGCCAGCTACAATCTTTAAAGTAGCTCAAACCTACCTGATGCCAGGCTCAAAACCGAATACTGATTTGAGCAGGAATGAGTTTTGGTACATTATTCATGTTAAGCCTGTAGTTAACATATCCTGGCCAAACGTTGATCCACTTCTGGTCAAATGCAAGATGCTCCATCCTTTTGAATGGATTTTAGTCATGTTTACAGCATATGAATTTCATCGTGCCAGCGCATGTCATGGCAGTCTTGATGTTTGTTGCTCTGTCATGGGTTGGCAACTCCAGGGTAAACCAGGCCGTCGTGGCAAAGCTGGCTTGCGAGGAAAAGACGGTGTCAAGGTATGTGTGTGCTCTCTCTCTCTCTCACTCTCTCTCTCTCTCCCTCTCTCTCTCCCTGTGCTTTTAGTGTCTCTACATCACATGTCTAAACTAGGCAATTTGGACATGCAGCTATTATTTGTATCCAGGCACTGTACCGTCATGCTACATGTAATATAGTTTTGGAGTTTTTCCAAGTCCAGTGTTTTCTGAACCAAAGGTTTGCTTTAGCTTGCTACAGCTTGGATCGCTTTTCTTGTTATGGCTGCCTCTTACTTGTAATTATCGGCAGTTTTCTTGTGAAGAACTTGGCTGCTCCTAGCGCTGGATCATGTGCTTCCTGCCGGCTGACTGACACCTGACTAACTCGGTTGGAAGCCCGAGGTCCAATGCTAGGACCAGCTAACGTCTTCAATATCACCACCCAAGTTCCACCATCTTAATAGTACAGTTTTTTAAATGTTTTTTTGGAAGATGCTGTGGCACATCTCCCAACCATCCATTAAAGTACACTGTTTGTGTTCTTGTTGGTAAATAGTCTAATGTTTTATATCATTATTCTTTGTCTCTGTTCCTCTCAGGGTCTGATCGGTGAGCCCGGAGATTCTGGCTTGGATGGTCCTGTTGGTCCACGGGTAAGCCAATAGAGCTTTTTTAAAGGTTGGACCAACGGTCACATTTTGGGATCAGGCGCGGGAAAATTTTGAATCGCTGGAGAACAGGCGAAGCCCAGTTCATGTTCACTTTGTATGGGAGTGGATGCATGGAAGCGTTCACTTTGTATGGCCATGGATGCATGCAGGTGGAAGAAGCACTAGAATGGTGCTCCACTTGATGTCCGACACTCGTGTTGAGTCAGAGCAGTTGCCAGGAAGCCCTTCCGTGGCGTGGGCAACAAAAGAACAAGCTTCAGAAAGCGCTGGTGGAGACGAACCTGTCACATTTCGTATACTTTTCAATATGTTTTGACATGCGACCTGGTCACCTCAATCTCGGGGTGATCGCCGCTGGCGGGCATGGTCCTTGAAAAAGCTCTATACTTCATCTCTAGACGATGTCCGGTAGATCTGATTTTTTGGCTTATTCGTCATCAGAGCACAGCACGAGGTATGTGCCTGTGTGGGTAACACTGTTGCGTTGCTTACTGTTGCTGTCATGCTGTGGATAGGGTCATCGTGGACGGCAAGGTCATCAAGGTGTCCCTGGTGTACATGGTATACTGGTACGTGCTTTTCACATCTATATAGTTATGTGTGCGTGGATCCTTTTCTGCACCTTGTTTTCGCTACTTCCGGTAGTTACATGCTTACTAACTATCTACATATATAGGGTCACAACATCATCAATACCAGCCAACGACTATCAGGGGCGGATCCAGCCATCTCTACAAGGGGGGGGGGGGGGGGTTCAGTTTAGTCAAAAATGAATAGCTGATACATGTACATACATATGCGTACAGTCGCCAGTAGTACATTTACAAAATTTATGGGGTTCCGCGGAACCCCTCGAACCCCTCGAACCCATCCTGGATCCACCACTGACTATTGTGTATAGGCAGTTTACATCAATTGGTACTGTGTGTTCTAGGTTTAGCTCTTGACCCCGAAAACTATCTCTGCTGCTGTTGCTGCTGCTGCTGCTGCTGTTGCTGCTGTCGTTGTTGCTGCTGTTGTTGCTGCTGTTGTTGCTTCTGTTGCTGCTGTTGCTGCTGCTGTTGTTGCTGTTGCCGGTTGCTGCTGCTTCTGTTGTTGCTGCTGTTGTTGCTGCTGCTGCTGCTGTTGCTGCTGCTGCTGCTGCTCCTCCTGCTGCTGTTGTTCCTGCTGCTGCTGCTTCTTGTCTTTGGTTGCTTCTGCTCTGATCCCGGATTATTTTGACTTTGTTTACAGGGTGGCCGAGGTGAGGCCGGTGTGAAAGGTGAACGTGGCCCGCAGGGAAGAAAGGCAAGTGAGTTACCCTGTGTTGTTGCTCGTGCCCTACCTTGCCCTAGTTCTACTATTTTGCCTTGCCCTGTCAGGTTTCATTCATGCAGATGTTTAGGCTAATGTGCTCTTTACCCAAATTCACTGAACAATGTGACATAACTTGAGTGGGAGGCTAGCTCCTAATGTTTGCTGTTACAGTCTCATTTCCATCATCCTATCTCTGACCCACTGTCTAAAATTAAATGTCATAAATGTCCAGAACTCGATTAACACTGCTTCTCTTCTATCATTTGCCGATAAGCCGAACCTCAAATTTCCTTGCTTTGTAAATGTGAAGGATGCAAAAAAAAAAAAAAAAAAAAAAAAATTTCACGGTTCGCGTGAGACTCGGCCAAAGGCCCAGTTTTCCGCATCCGCAGGAACGCCACCACCCTCTTGGATCAAGGCGCAGATGCAGCTCCTAAGCGGTGGGAGGTGAGTAGATCAGACCCACCACAAAGTGGTCAAAGACCGAAATCCCATTCACTGCATCCATGTTTCCCTCGTGCCAGGCCACGAGTTCCCAATTAACTGTGGGTCGCAGCACGGCTGGAAAAATTCCTTCCGCTTCCAAGCAGGACTTGAACCTGGTACCCTCTGTTTCTCAATCATGGTCTTAGACCATCCCACTATGCCTGCCTGCGAAGGATGCAAAATGTTTAAAAATGCTTAAGTGTGATAACGTTTGTTGGCACCTCTAGCTATTGACTGACGTCATGTGCTTGTTTTGAGTATGGGAGAGCTAGGCTGGTTGTATTGTGTACTGTACCGCACTGGGTTGAAGTAGATCCCGGTCACTGTATATACATAGCGCTGGCTGCGTTGATGTTGTAGGCCCCAGCCAGTGTACATTCTCAGCGCTGGCTGGCTGCGTTGATGTTGTGTGAGTGTGTACTTGCTTGGTTCCTGTGTGTTGTTTGGATGTGTGTCTACTCGTGTGCAGGGCGACAGGGGCTGGTCTGGTGGTGATGGTGAAGATGGAATACAGGTACAGTGCGTCCAGCTCATCCCTGTGTGTTCTATACATCCCTGTGTGTTCTATACATCCCTGTGTGTTCTATACATCCCTGTGTGTTCTATACATCTCTGTGTGTTCTATACATCCCTGTGTGTTCTATACATCCCTGTGTGTTCTATACATCTCTGTGTGTTCTATACATCCCTGTGTGTTCTATACATCTCTGTGTGTTCTATACATCCCTGTGTGTTCTATACATCTCTGTGTGTTCTATACATCCCTGTGTGTTCTATACATCCCTGTGTGTTCTATACATCTCTGTGTGTTCTATACATCCCTGTGTGTTCTATACATCCCTGTGTGTTCTATACATCCCTGTGTGTTCTATACATCCCTGTGTGTTCTATACATCCCTGTGTGTTCTATACATCCCTGTGTGTTCTATACATCCCTGTGTGTTCTATACATCTCTGTGTGTTCTATACATCCCTGTGTGTTCTATACATCCCTGTGTGTTCTATACATCCCTGTGTGTTCTATACATCCCTGTGTGTTCTATACATCCCTGTGTGTTCTATACATCCCTGTGTGTTCTATACATCCCTGTGTGTTCTATACATCCCTGTGTGTTCTATACATCCCTGTGTGTTCTATACATCCCTGTGTGTTCTATACATCCCTGTGTGTTCTATACATCCCTGTGTGTTCTATACATCTCTGTGTGTTCTATACATCCCTGTGTGTTCTATACATCCCTGTGTGTTCTATACATCCCTGTGTGTTCTATACATCCCTGTGTGTTCTATACATCTCTGTGTGTTCTATACATCCCTGTGTGTTCTATACATCCCTGTGTGTTCTATACATCCCTGTGTGTTCTATACATCCCTGTGTGTTCTATACATCTCTGTGTGTTCTATACATCCCTGTGTGTTCTATACATCTCTGTGTGTTCTATACATCCCTGTGTGTTCTATACATCCCTGTGTGTTCTATACATCCCTGTGTGTTCTATACATCCCTGTGTGTTCTATACATCCCTGTGTGTTCTATACATCCCTGTGTGTTCTATACATCTCTGTGTGTTCTATACATCCCTGTGTGTTCTATACATCCCTGTGTGTTCTATACATCCCTGTGTGTTCTATACATCCCTGTGTGTTCTATACATCCCTGTGTGTTCTATACATCCCTGTGTGTTCTATACATCCCTGTGTGTTCTATACATCTCTGTGTGTTCTATACATCCCTGTGTGTTCTATACATCTCTGTGTGTTCTATACATCTCTGTGTGTTCTATACATCCCTGTGTGTTCTATACATCCCTGTGTGTTCTATACATCTCTGTGTGTTCTATACATCCCTGTGTGTTCTATACATCTCTGTGTGTTCTATACATCTCTGTGTGTTCTATACATCTCTGTGTGTTCTATACATCTCTGTGTGTTCTATACATCTCTGTGTGTTCTATACATCTCTGTGGATGTGTCTATATTGCAGCTGAGATAGTTGGTCTACTTGTGTCATGCAAGTAGCTGCCGGTTCTTGAAGCATCTATGTATGTTGGCATAGTATCAGGCGAATTCTCCTGAGGATTCCGTGACGGTGTTAAAGGCAGTGTAGATTGTAGTGAAATGCAGATTGGATTGGATGGCAGAGAGACCCTGTTAACTCTAGACATCATTACCAACCATCATGATTCAACCTGGTCTTGTGTTGCCGCTTATTCTCCTCCCCGTTGTGTTTGTTCATCACCTGTTGATGTTAGGGCCCACCTGGAGAAAAAGGAGATGCTGGTATTCATGGCCGCAATGGAAACAAGGTTTGTCCTGCCGAAATGCTCATGTGTGATGTTTTCCTAGACCACATTAGTCTACCTGAGCAGCTACCGAGGCATTAGTCAAGTTTTTCGGTGTTCCGTTAACGAGTCCACAAAGCCGGGACAAAACAATTCTGTCTGCAGATTGAGTTATTAGTCAGATATGTATAATGTTTAGCTTGTGTTGTTATTACTCTACCATACTCATTGCTGGATTTATTATCTGTGTGCCACTAATGTTGTAATGTCTTGCAGGGAGTACCAGGTGAAGATGGTCACATAGGACCTCAAGGAGATCAGGTACAGTGAATAGTGGCTACGTTGTATCTACGTGTACATGTATGTGTGAGTTGCTTGCCCACAGTTAGTCAGTCAGACATGATTGCCCGTGTAGATCCTGCGTACATACAGGCATCATGGCCGATCTATTTTCTCTAAGTTAAGTTTGCCAAGCCGGTTAGAAAAAAAATTATGTTCACCTCTTCGGGTCTTCAAGTCCCATTACAAGACCTGGAACTTCTCCATTGACGATCCGGGCAACGACTCATAATGTGCCCTGACTCTTCTCTTCCAGCAGGCATCAAGTCACTTTACAGCATGGTATTAGAAGGTGGGAAAGCCTAAAGCACAGAGCCATAATACTATCACTCAGCACTGTGTCAGCAGGCATTTTAGCATCTTGCAAGGCCAGCGAACCGATGGCCGGCCATTCAGTGATGTCTGTTATCCTATCGTCATCGGCGGGCAAGCTCCTGGCCTCTGCTGCTCCAGCGCACCCTCGCTCTGGTTTCTGGAGACCAAGCTTGGGACGTATTCTTATCGTGACTCGGGACGTCTACCTGGGCCCCAGCATGGGCTGGTGGATATCGATGTGGTGGATGAATCTGGTCATGAGTCTTATCTTCAACTGCAGTGGCCGCTCGGAGCTATTTGTCCACCTCCTTGCAGAGTAACCTGGCAAGAATCCTCTCCAAAAGAGACAAGGTCATCACCAAGACGACAGAGCACTCTGGTGGGCCAGATTGTGAGGCAACTACCCTTTGTAGCTTTGGGATACTGGTAGACATCAGAATGCAGTATGTTATTCCTGCCATTATTTACTCTGTACCAACAGCCATATTGCATGACCTCACTACAAAGGTACTGCAAAGAGCCATGCCACTACAGCACCCATATGAGTATATGTCTGTGTGTTAGTCTGCATACTTATCCGTGTGTGTGTGTATTAACATGTGCATGCAGGGTGAGAAAGGAGAGGCTGGTCCTCCTGGATTTGACGGTCTGCCTGGCTTCAAGGTACATGTGACAGTGATCTAGAAGACCGTGATTTTCATCACTGGTTTTTAAATTGTCAGCTGAAGTATTGCGTGAAGTATTGCGTGAAGTATTGCGTGAAGTATTGCGTGAAGTATTGCGTGAAGTATTGCGTGAAGTATTGCGTGAAGTATTGCGTGAAGTATTGCGTGAAGTATTGCGTGAAGTATTGCGTGAAGTATTGCGTGAAGTATTGCGTGAAGTATTGCGTGAAGTATTGCGTGAAGTATTGCGTGAAGTATTGCGTGAAGTATTGCGTGAAGTATTGCGTGAAGTATTGCGTGAAGTATTGCGTGAAGTATTGCGTGAAGTATTGCGTGAAGTATTGCGTGAAGTATTGCGTGAAGTATTGCGTGAAGTATTGCGTGAAGTATTGCGTGAAGTATTGCGTGAAGTATTGCGTGAAGTATTGCGTGAAGTATTGCGTGAAGTATTGCGTGAAGTATTGCGTGAAGTATTGCGTGAAGTATTGCGTGAAGTATTGCGTGAAGTATTGCGTGAAGTATTGCGTGAAGTATTGCGTGAAGTATTGCGTGAAGTATTGCGTGAAGTATTGCGTGAAGTATTGCGTGAAGTATTGCGTGAAGTATTGCGTGAAGTATTGCGTGAAGTATTGCGTGAAGTATTGCGTGAAGTATTGCGTGAAGTATTGCGTGAAGTATTGCGTGAAGTATTGCGTGAAGTATTGCGTGAAGTATTGCGTGAAGTATTGCGTGAAGTATTGCGTGAAGTATTGCGTGAAGTATTGCGTGAAGTATTGCGTGAAGTATTGCGTGAAGTATTGCGTGAAGTATTGCGTGAAGTATTGCGTGAAGTATTGCGTGAAGTATTGCGTGAAGTATTGCGTGAAGTATTGCGTGAAGTATTGCGTGAAGTATTGCGTGAAGTATTGCGTGAAGTATTGCGTGAAGTATTGCGTGAAGTATTGCGTGAAGTATTGCGTGAAGTATTGCGTGAAGTATTGCGTGAAGTATTGCGTGAAGTATTGCGTGAAGTATTGCGTGAAGTATTGCGTGAAGTATTGCGTGAAGTATTGCGTGAAGTATTGCGTGAAGTATTGCGTGAAGTATTGCGTGAAGTATTGCGTGAAGTATTGCGTGAAGTATTGCGTGAAGTATTGCGTGAAGTATTGCGTGAAGTATTGCGTGAAGTATTGCGTGAAGTATTGCGTGAAGTATTGCGTGAAGTATTGCGTGAAGTATTGCGTGAAGTATTGCGTGAAGTATTGCGTGAAGTATTGCGTGAAGTATTGCGTGAAGTATTGCGTGAAGTATTGCGTGAAGTATTGCGTGAAGTATTGCGTGAAGTATTGCGTGAAGTATTGCGTGAAGTATTGCGTGAAGTATTGCGTGAAGTATTGCGTGAAGTATTGCGTGAAGTATTGCGTGAAGTATTGCGTGAAGTATTGCGTGAAGTATTGCGTGAAGTATTGCGTGAAGTATTGCGTGAAGTATTGCGTGAAGTATTGCGTGAAGTATTGCGTGAAGTATTGCGTGAAGTATTGCGTGAAGTATTGCGTGAAGTATTGCGTGAAGTATTGCGTGAAGTATTGCGTGAAGTATTGCGTGAAGTATTGCGTGAAGTATTGCGTGAAGTATTGCGTGAAGTATTGCGTGAAGTATTGCGTGAAGTATTGCGTGAAGTATTGCGTGAAGTATTGCGTGAAGTATTGCGTGAAGTATTGCGTGAAGTATTGCGTGAAGTATTGCGTGAAGTATTGCGTGAAGTATTGCGTGAAGTATTGCGTGAAGTATTGCGTGAAGTATTGCGTGAAGTATTGCGTGAAGTATTGCGTGAAGTATTGCGTGAAGTATTGCGTGAAGTATTGCGTGAAGTATTGCGTGAAGTATTGCGTGAAGTATTGCGTGAAGTATTGCGTGAAGTATTGCGTGAAGTATTGCGTGAAGTATTGCGTGAAGTATTGCGTGAAGTATTGCGTGAAGTATTGCGTGAAGTATTGCGTGAAGTATTGCGTGAAGTATTGCGTGAAGTATTGCGTGAAGTATTGCGTGAAGTATTGCGTGAAGTATTGCGTGAAGTATTGCGTGAAGTATTGCGTGAAGTATTGCGTGAAGTATTGCGTGAAGTATTGCGTGAAGTATTGCGTGAAGTATTGCGTGAAGTATTGCGTGAAGTATTGCGTGAAGTGCTGCGTGAAGTATTGCGTGAAGTATTGCGTGAAGTATTGCGTGAAGTATTGCGTGAAGTATTGCGTGAAGTATTGCGTGAAGTATTGCGTGAAGTATTGCGTGAAGTATTGCGTGAAGTATTGCGTGAAGTATTGCGTGAAGTATTGCGTGAAGTATTGCGTGAAGTATTGCGTGAAGTATTGCGTGAAGTATTGCGTGAAGTATTGCGTGAAGTATTGCGTGAAGTATTGCGTGAAGTATTGCGTGAAGTATTGCGTGAAGTATTGCGTGAAGTATTGCGTGAAGTATTGCGTGAAGTATTGCGTGAAGTATTGCGTGAAGTATTGCGTGAAGTATTGCGTGAAGTATTGCGTGAAGTATTGCGTGAAGTATTGCGTGAAGTATTGCGTGAAGTATTGCGTGAAGTATTGCGTGAAGTATTGCGTGAAGTATTGCGTGAAGTATTGCGTGAAGTATTGCGTGAAGTGCTGCGTGAAGTATTGCGTGAAGTATTGCGTGAAGTATTGCGTGAAGTATTGCGTGAAGTATTGCGTGAAGTATTGCGTGAAGTATTGCGTGAAGTATTGCGTGAAGTATTGCGTGAAGTATTGCGTGAAGTATTGCGTGAAGTATTGCGTGAAGTATTGCGTGAAGTATTGCGTGAAGTATTGCGTGAAGTATTGCGTGAAGTATTGCGTGAAGTATTGCGTGAAGTATTGCGTGAAGTATTGCGTGAAGTATTGCGTGAAGTATTGCGTGAAGTATTGCGTGAAGTATTGCGTGAAGTATTGCGTGAAGTATTGCGTGAAGTGCTGCGTGTTCCGTGCTATTGTCTTGTTGCTGGTCAATGATGATGGACATAATGGAATAGTACATGGCATATTTCAACTGGTTGTTTAGACTTTCTTTTCAGGAGCGTTACCCGTGTGTGCGTGTATGTGTGTGTTGTATTGTATTGTATTGCATTATATTGCATTGTATGTATATGTGTCTGTATGTGCTATGTGATGTGACGTGTGGTACAGGGCCAGCCTGGCAAGCCTGGTGTCGACGGCAGGATAGGAGCAGCGGGAGAGGACGTAAGCCGGTTACTTCAATGATCCAATCTTGTTGGCAGGCATTGCTGTGCACAGTGTCATATTGTCAGAGTCTTACTGCTCAACTACACGTTACTTAGACACGTAGTATTACCAACGTGCCATTGCGGCTGTGCTGCTGCTGTGCTTAGGATCCGGTGAATGTGTTTATCCACTGTGTGTTGCTTGAAGGCACGCCACTTCTCTAGCCAAAATAAAGTATTGTGTGTGCGCGTGCGTGCATGCATGCATGTTGTATTGTGTGGTAGGGCCCGCCCGGAATCAAAGGTCTTCCAGGAGGGGAAGGTCCTCTCGGTCCACCGGTAAGCCATCTTGTAGAACAGTTAGAGGGACAGGATTGCTCAATTGGCCATTCACTGCCGGGTGGGGCTCTTTGACTAACTGACAGGCTTTGCCATGTCATCGCAGGATAGTTAATGTTAGTGTGTGCAATGTAAGACAAGTCTATGCTGAAGAACCATCCAGTGATGGTGTTAAATTCTTTTTTGTTGTTAAATTCTTTATTTTCTCTTGCGTTATAAAGCAACAACAGAAAACATTGCTGTTCAAGTCCGTCTATCACTTGAAATGAGTCGGCTAAGGTAGTGAACTTACCACTCCTACAGCACTATATTGGCACCACAGAGTGGTCCTCTAAGTTAGTATGCCAACTTGACAATGTATATGGTGCTGTGGCTGACGTTTCAAGTGTTGTCTGTGCTGTCTGCTTGTTTGTGCAAGGGTTCAATAGGCCTTCGCGGTGGACAAGGTAATCCGGGAATACAAGGCGCAAAGGTGGGTAGATCCGCGGCCCTGGCGAGTGCGGAAGAAAGTTGCCTTTTTTCATGCTGCTCCTCGTGTGCTTCAGTCTGTGCCTGCTATAATGTGTAGTACAGCAGGGCTTCAAAGGGGCATGTCACAGGCCCTGAAGAGTAATAAAAGTACGACTTATGACTCCACTCGGATCATTCTTTGCATGCTCGGCAATGAGATCAGACCGTTAGCGTATCTGCCTCTCCTTTTCCACTTCTCTCGTCAATCGGTGGGACATCTGTTGAAGTAGGTTACGGGACGCACTATCTAAGGTCTTTGTGTACGTGCGTTTACCTATCCGATACTTTCGCCTGACCCTATATTTTCTCAGGATAGCAACGTGTTAGGGGATAAGTTGGGTCTGAATCGTGTGACTCACCATAACCACTGCCCATACTGGCATCCCTCAATCCAGCACAGCACTACCACTAACACTCCCCAATCCAGGTGTAGTCATGGACTGTCGCGGTGTGATTACTGATTAGCTCTGTATGGCTTTTCATTTTATTTAATTTTCTTACAATCCCACAGTTAATTGGGAACTCGTGGCCTGGCACAAGGGAAACATGGATGCAGTGAATTGGATTTTTGGTCTTTGATCACTTTGTGGCGGGTCTGGTCTTCTCACCTCCCACCACTTAGGAGCTTCATCTGCGCCTTGATCCTAAAGGGTGGTGGTGTTCCTGCGAATGCAGAAAACTCGACCTCTAGCCGAATCTCAAGTGAACCGTGATTTTTTTACAATCCTTTCAAATATGTTTGTATGCTGTTCTTTCCTTGTGTTGCCGTTGTTACCAGGGAGAACCAGGTCCATTGGGACGCCAAGGAGACCCGGGTGTAGCTGGACCAAAGGTCAGATGTTGTCAACAGTTTTTTTTCCTTCTAGCATGCAGTGTTTGTATTGTGAGCCGCTCGCTCTTTACAAGATAACTATTGGCGTTTCTAAGAGAATTTTTCTAGGGCTTCAAAATAATTTCCCATCCCCTTGTCTGTGGTGGCTTGGTGCATCACCAAGTTGGTTTATTGGGTGCTTCCACTTGAGGACCCTGGCACATCTCAAACTGCTGTACCACGATTGTGAATGTGACACTCGGGAGGCTATTTGAGAGCTCGGCTGGATGCTCAATGGACTGCCTGTTAGAGGGCTGCGCAGGCGGAAAACACTGCTGCTGCCTGTAGTATAGCATTGTACAGAAGGTGCTGCAACAAACCACCTGGGATGACTCACTGTCTGAACTACTGTGATGTGGCCTACTCAATCTCCAGATAGCTAACTGTTTCGACATTGTTAGGTCTCCGGCATTAGCGGAGCTCAGAGTGACCGGCCGAAATCGATGATATGACGAATACAGACCGAGGCAGATGTTCTGCATGCCAAAGCTGTTCACGACTAACACACCCAAGGTCACTGCTTGTCACACAGTATCTGCTGAAAATGACCGTCAGGCGAAATTACTGGTCAGTCGGCGTCACGCATTTTTCACAAAAATTTGCGTTTCACCTGCTGGGAGAGTATGCGTGTACTCGAGTCTCATCCTGAGCACGTTTTTTTCTTCTTTTTTTCAGCTCCATCCAGTATAGCTGTATTTTTCATTGCAAAGCCGTCCTCGATTGTTGTGTTCGTTGTTCAAACGAAGTGGACATTCAATCATGAAGGCAGAGGACATAGGAGCCTGATTGGAGTTTCTCGTGGCATAGGACGGCCACACAGAGACACTTTGGGATTTTCTGAATACAGTATAAAATACCGTACGCACGATGCTGAGATCAATTTGTGCGATATCAAATTGTTTGTGATCTACCACATCGAGCAGAACGGGATCCAAACACAAGCTTACCGACGGTTAGGCTGCCGACCTGACTGAACAAATGATCCCTGGCTTCACCAGACGCCAGACGTCGGACACCATGTCCTTTGCCGCGACGTCCATCTCCAAAAAGAACTCCATCTTCGTCGTGAAAAGGCTTGAAATACTCAATATTCAACCGAGATTCGCGGTCTCACCCTTTCTCAGATCGAATCATTTTTTGTTGTAGCAGTTGCAGGGCAGATCCCCGCCACTACTTCAACAGAAGATGGCTCCAAAGCATGCCTGGAACAAGCCATATCGAGGTTGCAAGCCACCCCTCTCAGCACTTTTTTTGAAGAAATTCGAAATTTCAATGGTGGAAGATATACTATGAAGAGAATTTCAAAAAGTATATTTCGCGGAGCGATCGCTCAACCTACGTCATTCAAACTTTGCAGGATGATTCAGACGTACATGCTAGGCATGGAACCACAGAAGATGATATCATAGCTGACACACAGAGTCACACACACAGCAGATTCGTGTGCACAGATACTAAATTAGTGGACGTCGTCATCTTCTTCCCGCTGATCTCAAATGTACGATGACGTGCTATTTCGCCTGACGTTTCATCAGTACGATACTTATCTTTCTTCCGTGTTCCAGGGAGGCAAAGGTGATGCTGGTGTACGCGGATCAGAAGGTGTGCAGGTAGGCCTTTGTAATGATAATGGTCGAAGCAGAATTTGTAGAGAGAGAGCCTCCATTCGCACTAGAATAATGCTTCCACGCAAATTCAAAATCTCTGATACTAATCACTGTGTCTGTATGCCGGTTAGTGTGTTGCCTGGTTTGCCGACTACTCATTACGCAATTTGACCTGGAACAAAAAATTTCTAAAATACATCGGTCATGTTATTCTCTCCCCCCTACCCGCCAAGTTTCTGTATGCGGAGTTGTGGGTGCCTAAGGTTTGTTGTCTGTCTGTCTGAATTCAATGGTGTACATGTGTTAGGGTCCCGAAGGCCGTCAGGGACTACCAGGCGTACAAGGAAAGCGTGTAAGCAGTTCATGCCTTTGTGGATGTCTCTCACTTAGCGGCAGACTGGCATAGCCGTGGGCGATAGGAGACTAGTTAGACCTGGATTAAAAGACATGCCAACCCACACACGTACATGCTACTGCTCTCTTCGTGTAGAAAACCTTCATCAAAGGACTGCGAGAATACATTAAATCGCGTTTAGTTTGCAAAGGTGGAGGCAACATCACTTGGTCGGAGAGCGACACTGAGTGAGCAAGACAAAACAGTTCATGAGCCAGCAATATCTACCTACTGTAAATTGTTACTCCTATGCTGTTTGCTTGCACGTAACTTGGTATTTATAGCGACTTACACGACAAAAATTGAATTGAGAAAATTTTGAAATAGTGCAGAAATTCCGGTGCCGCAGAGGAAGTATTCTCTTTTCAGAGAGTGGTCCTTGCTAGAAACTACTGGGGTCTACAGAAAACTGACTGAATTATCACCACCTAGACATGTTTCTTCACCGTGCTGTGTATGGGGAATATCTCATTTGAGAAGGTGCTCTACTTGCTGTTTCTGTGTGCAGGGCATCGATGGTGAAAAGGGTCTTCCAGGTCCACCAGGTCCCTCTGGCAGAGAGGTATGGTATTGCTTACTCATGCAGTTGTATTACAGACTAGCCGAGGATGCGGGGTTTCTAATCAAGCGTTGACCAAACAAAGCCTCATTATCCTAGATCTGTGTTGTTGAGACACTGTCCATAAACATATTTCTGGCTAAGTTATCATTTGCTTTTCTGAGTCATTTTACACCAGCCATCAGATATGATGATGAAAGTTATGCGCAAATACAAGTTAGAGCCCAGCTGACATGCAGGTTTCTAGGAATAGTTTACCACATTCTGCCTGACAACACGATAGTCGTTTAGGCCTTGTGAGATGTGGTTGTGGAGTAATAGTGAATAGATTTTTGGTTTGAGGAAAGCAAATCAGCACACGAAGCACAGAAGGTTATAAGGACTTGCTTACTACCTTGTTAATCACCATTGTATTCGACCTGAAGAGTAATGGAATGAAAGGCCTAGTCGAAAAAATTATATGGCTTCTGTGCTTCGTGTGCAGAGTAATAGTGTTATTTCAGGAGAGCAATAGGGATGTTTCACATGGTACGTGTAGACTGGCGTTTCACCTATAGAGCAATGCCATGGTGTTTTAGCGTTACCTGTGCTGTGTTGTGCTATGATCTTGCATGTGATGGCAAATATACTGTCATTGCACTGCTGACCGTTCTACATGTATGCCCACCCACTGCACAGGGTGAGAGAGGACCGAAGGGAGCGGCTGGCGAGTATGGCTTTCCCGGAGTGATGGGTCATCCGGGTCTGCCGGGCCACATGGGATTCCCTGGAGAACAAGGCCCACCGGTAAGACAACGACAATGGTCACTTTTAATCTATTCTCTTAGAGAGACTGTTTGATCCGAGTGTTCATAACCGTGCTCATTGATACACACCTGCACACATGCTGGACTCTAAAGAGCCTTGCTAGCCACACAATTGCAACTTGTGAAAAATGAGAAATAGGAATTCTAAAGAATGTCACAAGAATGCCTCACAATGTCAGAAGAATGCCTGAAATCCAACATGCTTGTTTCACGTTGTGATGTGGTGTGGTGTGGGGTGGTGTGCCAATAGTCAATACAATGCAAACCGACATTCCCCCAAGTAATTTTGATTTCCACAGTCCCTATCACTAGTTTGCAATCGTATAGCACGTCTACATATTTCCAACTCCTTACCAAGCGACATGTAATGTTTGATGTATGTATTGCTTTGTTGAATCGTCTCCTGTTCACCCGTACAGGGATCGAGGGGACCGAAAGGACTACCCGGTGACAATGGCCGGCCTGGAAGTCCGGTGAGTTCCTGCTGCGGTCAAGCTGTGTGTACTGGTGATTTGCTGGCCATCGTCGTGTGAATTGTAAAGAGCTTTGTATTACTGTATTACTTTGTTATCACTGACTCAAGTTGTCAATTTGAGCACTCTGGCGAGGTCTGTTTGGGCCTGGTTGAAATCTGGCTTTGGATAAAAAAATCATTCCTTTATGGTTCCACCTCATTTTCTCTGTGCTGCGCTGATGAGTCCACAAGGGACCAAGCTGTGCTGGCTGCACATTGAGCTTTGTGTTAGATCATATGCAAACAAACTGAAATAGATCTGACTTAATCAGTAGGGTTCGACTAGGGAAGTGTCGCTGGCAGTACAAAAGAATGTGGGAATCAAGATCATGATGAAAGTGAATATCCAAGATGGCCATGCAGTACTTTCCTTACCGCTTGTATAAAGTGTTTGATGTCATCGTTTCTATTTTTTTGCCTCTGGTGGTTGAATTGTTTTCTGTTTCATGCAGGGTCATATCGGACTGCCAGGTAACGCAGGACCTCTTGGAGATCTTGGCTTGAAGGTAATCATCTTCATCAGTCACGGCATAAGCCAACGAATTGCCAGTGATTTGTAATGAATACTTGTATAGCAAGCCAGAATCAGACCTGTTCAGTGCAGCATGTTTCATACTTCCACCGGAAAAATCCTCATGATCTTCTATTCAGTTTCCAAAGAGTTGCTATACTCAAAACATATGACACCTTGATGACATAGGCAAAAAAAGCATAGGGATGTTATAAATTTTTCATTTCTCCTAGTTTTTTTCAAGACATAACCTGGGATTCGAACCTGCACTATCGCCCTGCATGCATCCCCGATACACTTCGCATACATAACGTTACCCATTCTTCCAAGTTGCTTCACGTTATGATCTTGCATTTGAAAGCCCTATTTGAATATTGTGGCCAGCTGTCTTTGATGGTACGGTACGGGACAGGTACGGGATAGCGCCAGGCATGCCGACGGCACAAACACACACACACACACACACACACGGCATTAAAGCTGTGTGGACCCTGGCTAGCGCCAGACGTTACTGAAGTAACGTCTTTTGCACAGCTACGGGAATAATGCGGTGTTCTGTGTTGGTATGCGTAGGGATTTGAAGGTGATGCTGGAGAGAAAGGACCACCAGGTGCGAAAGGTGATGTGGTAAGCGACATGCATTGTTCATTAGTCTTGCTGCAATCAACGCTGACATACATGTATGCTGCTCTACAATCAACTTCACCTGTGTGCTCACCAACGATCAAGGTGGTCATGAGAAGCATTGCGGGTAGCATTTCCAAGTCAGGCCAATTGTGGTTCACCCAATGTTTACTATTACTTCACATATACACATGGTGGGTATCCATGTGTGAGGTGAAACTTGCCGAAAGCTACTCAATAACCGTCAAAACCATCCCGAAACATCGGTAATGGCAGAAACATCAAAGTCTGTGATGCAGCCGGTTGATTCGGTACAACTGCTGTAGCACTGCTGCAGAGCCGGTGTGAGATTGATTTTATGCTGTTTCATTAACTTGTTATGTTCAGGGTACTCCTGGTGATGCAGGTGCCCGAGGAGCGTCTGGACTAAAGGGCTTGCCGGTAAGTCATCCTAGTCTCTTATGAAGGTGCAGGTCATCGACTTAAGTATCAAGGGATTCGGATCCTGATAAGGTGGAGGGATTTGTAATGGTAAAGGTCACAAGAAAAGTTGACTGGCACCCCAAGGACTCGAGCCAGGGACCCTCGCTTCTGATGCATTCATTATTTGAGTACTCAGCACATAAAGGCAATACTGTTAAGCGGAGAATTGTTCCACATGTACATGTGTACGTGTATTACTTTTCTAGCTGTGTACAGCGATTTTGTATGACTAATCCCATTCTGGTCTGTGCTGGTCGTGTGTTGCTGCTTGTGCTGTGTGTGAAGGGTATACGGGGACCACAAGGTGATGTCGGTGAAGTGGGACCTAAAGGAGACCGGGTACGTGATCAGCTAGGGCAGCGGCAGACAGGTTGTGCTAACTGTCATCATGGTCAGCGGATATCTAGGGTATAGGGATAGTAACTACATATACTCAATGTTCATGAATATGTGACACTGATGCTGCTCTGCTGGAGAGGAGAGTGATAGCAGTCCATCAGTTAGTGTGACCATTGCCACTGAATTGGGTAAGCATTGCTACAGCAATGCGTTAGGCCATACGTCTTGCAGCACTAGTAGATATGGACCACTTTATCGTAAAGCACTCTGAATTGCACATATGTATACATTAAATGCGCTGAAGATGATGCAATGGAACTCGGTCAAAAAGCCTGCAACTCTCCCAGGCCCAAATTTGACACGGCTGGAAGCTCAGTTTCCAGCAGGGAGTCGTACCCAAACCAGTTACCCAAACCAGTTTAGGTATGACTCCCTGCTTTGCACGTCAGGCGAAATTACTGGTCAGTCGGCGTCACGCATTTTTCACAAAAAATTGCGTTTCACCTGCTGGGAGAGTATGCGTGTACTCGAGTCTCATCCTGAGCACGTTTTTTTCTTCTTTTTTCAGCTCCAGTATAGCTGTATTTTTCATTGCAAAGCCGTCCTCGATTGTTGTGTTCGTTGTTCAAACGAAGTGGACATTCAATCATGAAGGCAGAGGACATAGGAGCCTGATTGGAGTTTCTCGTGGCATAGGACGGCCACACAGAGACACTTTGGGATTTTCTGAATATAAAATACCATACGCACGATGCTGAGATCAATTTGTGCGATATCAAATTGTTTGTGATCTACCACATCGAGCAGAACGGGATCCAAACACAAGCTTACCGACGGTTAGGCTGCCGACCTGACTGGACAAACGATCCCTGGCTTCACCAGACGCCAGACGCCAGACGTCGGACACCATGTCCTTTGCCGCGACGTCCATCTCCAAAAAGAACTCCATCTTCGTCGTGAAAAGGCTTGAAATACTCAATATTCAACCGAGATTCGCGGTCTCACCCTTTCTCAGATCGAATCATTTTTTGTTGTAGCAGTTGCAGGGCAGATCCCTGCCACTACTTCAACAGAAGATGGCTCCAAAGCATACCTGGAACAAGCCATATCGAGGTTGCAAGCCACCCCTCTCAGCACTTTTTTTGAAGAAATTCGAAATTTCAATGGTGGAAGATATACTATGAAGAGAATTTCAAAAAGTATATTTCGCGGAGCGATCGCTCAACCTACGTCATTCAAACTTTGCAGGATGGTTCAGACGTACATGCTAGGCATGGAACCACAGAAGATGATATCATAGCTGACACACAGAGTCACACACACAGCAGATTCGTGTGCACAGATACTAAATTAGTGGACGTCGTCATCTTCTTCCCGCTGATCTCAAATGTACGATGACGTGCTATTTCGCCTGACGGTAGCTTGGTCCTGTCAGATCAGAAGTTATTGGTAAGCGTCAGGGTATATTCTAGAACGAATTTCCAACCGGTTACGGTCCAATGAAGAGTGGGGGGGGGGGGGGGGTGGGGGTGCGGGGGTCCCCCCGGAAATTGTTTTCAAAATACAACCCAAATATGGCACTCGACAGCAACTTAACAGATTTCTTGGTGCTGGAGTGTAGCAAAGATATAAGCAGCTCCATTCACCCACAGAAAAGTACGGGCGGTTGGAACTGATTTGTAACTTTTTGTTTGGATGCAAGCACCCAAACTACCAACAATAGCTCATAAACTCACACTGGAGTTATTGTCTTACTTCCATGCTTTTACAGTCTTGATAATCATGAGCAACAACAGAGAAGGAAAAAAGGGAATCTGACTTGAAAAACAACTAAAACGCACAACAACAGCAACAGCTGAGAAAACTAAAGTCAAAACGGAACTATAAGCCGGAACTGTAGTGGAGCAACATAATGCATAGATACACGGGAAAAGAGCCGGCACACGCACGCAGCGCACGCGCACGTACGCCGCGCACGCAGCAAAGTGAAAGTCTAGACATCAGAGCATGAATACATGAATGCGTGACAGCAAGCGCGCCTCGGGCACCAAGACACAAGATCACTACAGACATAACAGAGAGATGAAACGCACACAGCAGATCCTAGACAAACACAAACTGGAGCATGCAGGCAACTGAACACAAGTCGGACAGAGCTGGATAGTAATTATAACACTGAATGCATGAGAGAGTAGAATCACCTGAACATCACCCCCTCCTTGAGGGACCATAAGCAGAATGGGAACGAAAACACTCTAAATCGCAATGTACTAATCGTCTGTGGCTTCACGAACAAGCAACAAAGAAGTAGAGCGTAATCTTCTCTATAGCAGACTGCCGTAACTCTTCTGCTCAGGGAGTGCGCACCGCATCTATCGGGATGAGCACAGTGATAGGTCGGCGGTATTGCTTCCCTTTCACCTTCACGTCGACAACACGTGTTCTTCCGTCGGTGCCTGGGTAGATCGCTTCGATCCTCCCGAGGGGCCACTGGCCGCGAGGAGTGTGCGCGTCCAGGACAAGCACCACGTCTCCAATCCGGATGTTGGGAAGGCTCTTCTGCCATCGTTGACGTATGTTCAACTTTGGGACCATCTCTTGTAGCCAGCGCTTCCAGACCGCGGCTAAACAGCTCTGCAACACCCTCCAGGCTTTGAGGTGGTACGCCTGGCCATCTTCCTCGACCGCGGTCATCACGGTCGTCGATCCCGCTAGAAAGTGCGAGGGTGTTAGCGGCTCCGGGTCTTGTCCATCTCCACTCTGGGCCGTTAGAGGTCGACGATTGAGCTGAGCCTCAACAGTGGTGAAGGCAGTCTGGAGCTCCTCATCAGAACACACAGCATTGTGCAAGATGCCGACCAACGCTCTCTTGGCACACTTGACCATTGCTTCGAAGACCCCGCCGTGATGCGGTGAGCGTGGCGGATTGAACCTCCACTCCACGCCTTTGCAGGCCATGGTAGCGGCAATCTGGCTGTTCTTGAGGCTTTCGATGGCTTCTCGTAGCTCACGCTCGGCTGACACAAAGTTGGTACCATTGTCGGACACGACGAGATCCGGTACACCTCTTCTCTTCGCGAACCTGGTGAATGCCAGCAGAAAGCTCTCCGTGTCCAAGCCATACGCCATCTCAAGATGAACTGCTCTGCTCTGAAGACACGTCATCAAGCAGAGATAGCGCTTTGCTCGACTTCTTCCTCTCCCTTGCTTCGTCAGAAAGGGTCCGGCGTAATCCACGCCCACCCGACTGAAAGCTCGGAAAGGCTCCTCGGTGCGGAAGTCGGGTAGTGGTGCCATCAGCTGTTGAGCAGGCTTTGCCCAAATCTTCTTGCAGGCCGTACACTGGCTCCGGTGCCTTTTCACTGCCGCTGGGCCATGTACAATCCAGAACTTCGAGTTTAGGGTCGACAACAGGTGGTTGACGCCAGCAGTGTGATTGTGAGCCGCATCCTCATGAGCGATTACAAGGGCTGTGACCGGATGCTTCGTTGGCAGAATGACGGGCCTACGGAGGCTGCTGGGAAGGTGATGTGCCGTGCTCAACCTGCCGTCCATCCGCAGTAGCTGAGGGTTGCTGTCACCCAGAACCGGTTGTAGGCGTAGCAGTGGACTTGACGCCGGGATGGGCCGCTGACTTCTACACGCTTCAATCGTCTCATTGAACTCGTCTTGCTGAGCCTTAGCGAACCACACATCTTCAGCTGACTCCAGTTCAGTAACTGTGAGGGGTTGCACGAGAAACTTCTGCGGTTTTCTCGTACGCTGGTATTCGAGGGACACCACGGTGCCTTCCACCGCTGCCGATCCTCCAGTCTGCGGTGTGTCCTGCCTGCAGCATTTCCCTTTGCTGGCGTGCCGAAAGAACCTTCTGCACCACGCAGTGACACGCTGCAGGCGAATCCAGGAACTGTATCGATCTGGTTGGAGGCGGTCAATGCTCGGACCGGTGGCTAGCAGGGACGATGCTTGGTGGCGCTTGGTTTCTCCAGGCAAATTCGTCGGCACAACGATGTCACGGTTCGGCCATTCTGACGGCGGCGCTTGCAAGAAACTCGGGCCTTGCCACCACTCGTCACACGCTGCGAGACTTGAAGCTGTCATTCCGCGTGTTGGGAGGTCTGCTGGGTTTGACTTGCCGGGCACATGCTGCCACTGCTTACCAGAGGTCACTGTCTGGATCTCCGCTATCTTCACACCGACGTCTGTGGCGAACTTGCGACTGTGAGAACGCACCCAGAACAGAACATTCATGTTGTCCGTCCAGAAGAAGTGGTGCGCTACTGGGATGTCAAGAGCTGTGGCGACCTCCGTGCTCAAACGTACGCCCAGGGCCGCTGCCTTCAACTCGAGCTTCGGAATTGACATCTTCTTGATTGGCGTTGGACGACTCTTTGCCATGCACAGCGTGACCTTCACTTGTCCGTCTGGGTAGGTGACTCGCACGTACGATGCCGCAGCGAACGCTGCATCGGACGCGTCCGTGAAGGTGTGAACCTCAGTGGCACATGGTTGTGGGAGTGCTCCTGCAAGCTTGAAGCAACGGTCAACTGACACTGAGGTGAGGTCCGGTAGCTCCGCGAACCACGTCTTCCACTTCTTCACCTCTGTTGTGCTGAGAGGGTCATCCCAACCATGGCCGGCAATACAGGCCTCTTGAAGCAGGATCCGCGCTCTGATGGTGAACGGTAGCAGCTGGCCGCGCGGGTCAAAGATCGTCGCCATCTTCCGCAGGACCGATCTCTTCGTGATGGCATAGTCCTCGGCTGGCGCGTTATACACAAACGTGAACTGATCCTTGTCTGCCATCCAGGTCACTCCAAGAGTCTTGGAAACAGGCGGTGCGTTGCAAGCCGCGTCTTCTAACATGACCTGGGCTTGGGGTGCTCTGTCTGCTGGTGGGATAGCGTCGAGCACGGCTGCTGAATTACTGTGCCACTTGCGCAAGTGGAAGCCGCCTTTGCTGAGTGTTGCGTCCAACTTCTGCTGAATCTCTACTGCCTGGGACTCGTCCTGGGTAGCGTGTAGAAGATCATCGACGTAGAAAGCCTTGTTGACCAGCGCTGGAATGTCGATGCTGTCGTCTCGGTCACTGCTGGAGAAATCCTCCGCCGTTTGTCGCAACGCTCTGGTGGCGAGGTAGGGCGATGCCTTCATCCCGAAAACCAGTCTGTTGAACTCAAAGACTTCGGGCTCGCTGTTGTTGTCCTTTCGCCACAGGAATCTGGTGTACTTCCTGTCGTCTGGCCGGAGGCCAACTTGAAGGAACATCTCGCTGATGTCGGCGACGATTGCCACTGGCTCCATACAAAACCGTAGCAGGATGTGTACAAGGTCGCTCTGCAGTGGTGGGCCTGCGTGCATCTCCTCGTTGAGGTTACATCCACTCCAAGAGACGGCCGCGTCGAACACCACCCGCACCTTGGTGGTGACCTTGTCTTGGCGAACGATGGGGAAGTGCGGAACGAACCACTGATCTTCTCCATCCGCAGCTACCTCTTCTGCTGGCACTTGCCTAATGTACCCTTTTGCCATGTGCGATACGAGGACGCGGTTGTACTCTGCCGCGATGTGCGGCTTCTGTTCAAGACTTCTTTCTTGGCTACGGAGACGGCGCTCTGCCATTGGCCGGTTGTTCCGCACCTTCGGGCCATCCGCGCTGCGCCATGGGATGCCGACACAGTACCGCCCACCGCTATACGACAAGGTCGCGGTCGTCATGGCTTCTGCTTCCTGTTCGGCTGGCGTTCGGTACGTTGGGCTGACTCCGAGACCGACACTCTCGACATTCCATAAGTCTTTCACCAGGTCGTCCAAGCGATCGTCCGCCTGCTCCACGCTGTCACTCGGTAGACGGACAGCACAATGGGTGGCCACACGAGCTGGGTCAGCCTGAGCTGATGCCGGGCCGTAGCACACCCAACCGAGCGGGGTGAGTCGTGCCACTGGACTGCCGGGTGGGCCACATCTCTCCTCCAGAGCCTTGTGGAGCGGCGTAGCATTGAGGCCGATGAGGATACCAATCTTCTTACTATGGGAGACTGGGAAGTCGATCTCTCGTAGGTGGTCCCAACTACTCTTGCGCGTGTGCCACTCGATGATGTTGGAGTCTCCAGTTACCTGTGGCAAGACCCAAGCGTTCAATGAGGAAACATAGCTCCCGTCGATGCTGGAGATGGTGAGTTTCGACTGGGTTGCATCTGTGCTGACGCTGTTCCCTCCTAGCGTCTGGACCTTCAGTGGTTGCGATGCTGGCTGGATGCCAAGAAGATCTGCAACGTCCTTCTGGATGTAGCTGGCTGTCGACCCAGAGTCGAAGAGAGCAGTACACTCGACCACTCGGTCCTCGTTCTTCAGCAATACTGGCACAGTCATGAATGAGATCCCATCATCGATGAACGTTGTGCTGCTAGACGGGTGCAGGACTGAGTCTGCACTGGCATGGTAGGTCACCTTCTCGCTTGTAGGCGTGCCGTTGGCGGACGCTCCTGCGGTGGTGCGTGTGTTGGAAGCGCTCCCTTTTTGCTCTATGTGCAGCATAGCATGATGCGTCTTCTGACAGACCGTACACTTGCCGGTGTCACACTTGTACGCTCTGTGCCCGGGCCGGAAACAGCAGATGCACAGACTACTGCTCTTGACTAGCTGCCAGCGATCAGGGACAGACATCTTCTCAAAGGCAGGACACCGCTCCAGGGGGTGACTGCCGCTGCACTTCAGGCACTGTGCACTCTGCTTGGGGGGACCGGCAGCATACGATCGCTCCGCCCCCCTAGGGTTCCATGGTCGGTTCTGAGCTGGACGCTGCGGTGGCTTGGACAGTGCAGGCTTCTTCTGATCTTGGTCAAACTCGGTCAGCCTGGCATCAACTTGACGCAGGGTGTGCACTCGCTTCATCAACCAGGTGGATAGTGTCTTCACGTTCGTTAAAGAATCGTCATGAGACTCGACAAACCTCGTCAACATCCCGCGGGGAAGCTTCTGCGTGATTGCGATGTAAAGATCACGGCCTGGTGTTAAACTGGCAGTTGACATGTTCAACAGAACATTCCGCAGTCTGACGGCCAACTGCTGCAGCTTGTCGGAGTCCCTTTCTGAGGTGATCCGTGGAAGTGCTAGAAGTTCCTGCTGTTGGCGCTCGAGCTCGCGGTCATTACTCCCATACCACTCATCTAGCTCCTTGAGCGCAGCGCTGTATGCGCCAGGGCCATCCAGCAGATCCGCAATCAGGTCATCTGCCGTGCCACCTTCTAGAGCTTCCCTTAGACGGGCCATCTTGTAATCTTCTGAGACCATGTGGTCGTCGTCCACCAGCCTCAGAAACTTCTGCCTCCACCTGATGTAGTTCTTCTGTGAACCATCAAACTTGGGTAGTTCCAGTGGCTGGATCTGATGTTGGCTGATACCACTGAAGGGTGCACTCTGAACGCCCTGTACCCAGCTGCTCACTCTGTCAGCTTTTCCACGTGCTGTATCTGAAGCTGCCTGAGGCCACGATCTTCCCAAATGACCTTGTACTACTGGAGTAATCTCCATACTACTACCACTAGGCTTGTCAAGCCCTACAGCGACCGGAGCTGGCATCCTGTCAACACCGACAGGGGTGGACACTTGTGTTTCAGCAGGAACGCTGTCCTGCTGTTCGGTCGCTTTGTCTGCGGTGGAGCCATCTCCATCAAGGCGAGAAACGCCACGGCTCTGGAGAGTCTCAGACTTGAGCTCCCCGTTCAACCGGTCGTCGGTTTTGAACGCTTGAGCTACAAAACCTGCAGCGGGAGGACCAGCGGAGACGCTTCGCTCCGTGACTGCCTGGTCGTCATCGTCAGTCTCATCATCAGACGCCGCCATCTTCCCCGCAAACAACGCCAGGCTCTCAGCGCAGGTCTGAAATGACGCGTCAGTGGACGGCTCCGTCTCCTCCGGACGTCCCTCTGACTCTAGTTCGTCTCCTTCAATGGAAGCCAACTCGGCGTCTAGCTCCAGCTGCAGGATTCTTTTCTGTCGCTTGAGCTGCTGGACTTCAAACTCCTGCTCCAGCTTTGCTAGCTGCACCGCCGCCTTCAACTCCGCTCTGCGACGCCTGGAAGCAGTAGAGGAAGCGGACGATGTCAGGGAAGAGACACTACTCTTCGTATCGTCTAGCTCTGCCTCAGGCTCTCTGAACCTTACTGGGGGAACACCTTTCGTGCTCCTGCTACTTTTTCTAGGTTCCGCCATTTCTCTAATCACTGCACTGGTAGATCTACGAAATGACAACTCTCGAACCGATTCGGATCCACTGATCCGGCTCGAAGGACCAGATGTTTGGATGCAAGCACCCAAACTACCAACAATAGCTCATAAACTCACACTGGAGTTATTGTCTTACTTCCATGCTTTTACAGTCTTGATAATCATGAGCAACAACAGAGAAGGAAAAAAGGGAATCTGACTTGAAAACAACTAAAACGCACAACAACAGCAACAGCTGAGAAAACTAAAGTCAAAACGGAACTATAAGCCGGAACTGTAGTGTAGCAACATAATGCATAGATACACGGGAAAAGAGCCGGCACACGCACGCAGCGCACGCGCACGTACGCCGCGCACGCAGCAAAGTGAAAGTCTAGACATCAGAGCATGAATACATGAATGCGTGACAGCAAGCGCGCCTCAGGCACCAAGACACAAGATCACTACAGACATAACAGAGAGATGAAACGCACACAGCAGATCCTAGACAAACACAAACTGGAGCATGCAGGCAACTGAACACAAGTCGGACAGAGCTGGATAGTAATTATAACACTGAATGCATGAGAGAGTAGAATCACCTGAACACTTTTCAACCGGTCGCCAACAATTTCAACCGGTCAAAAACCGGTTGGGGCGGTTCTAGAAAATTCCCTGAGCGTTGCTTGCCATTGCAGCCCCAGTTGTCATGAGCTTTGACCTCATTTGTAAAATATTTCTTGTCTGCCATCTGACCTACAGGGTTCTCTTGGACAAAAGGGAATCGATGGACCCAGGGGACCAACCGGAGCCAAGGTCAGCTATTTCAATCTCTTCTTCTGTGCATTTTGCTTGGGAAATGATCTTTTCTCCTGTGTCTAATGATATCGGCTGGCATTATCCTCTGCACGTGTTGACTGTGTTTATTGGCCAGGCATAACTGATTTCCCTGGGTTAGCATAACTGTTTTCCGTGGGTTGTTAGCAAATTTACCTTGTTTGTCATTGAGGAGTCCCAGTAGCTGGTTCTCTCATCCTCTGCTGTGTGATGTAAAGGATAACTTGAATTTGATGGAAATAATCCAGTTGTATTTTATCTTCGCTTACTATGTGATCTGTTTGCTGCACTAGGGCCCACAAGGAGAGAAAGGCGAGATCGGACCGCTGGGTTCTACAGGAGGAAGTGTAAGTGTGCTACAGTAGTGTGTGTTGGGGGGGGGGCTGAGGTTCAGTCACAAATACGGACAATGCTGTATTGCTGAAAGAGAGAGAGAGAGGGGGGGGGGGGGGGGCAGTGCGACAGAGCCCAGCCATCAACATTAATTGCTAGAGATCTATCCGAAGTATCTTTGCTGACGAGGGTGTTGGTAGAGACAAATTCCCATGCAATCTCAACATTATCCCACTGTTCAGTCAGTGGCAGGTGGACATACAGCACCCACTGTTCAGTCAGTGGCAGGTGGACATACAGCACCCACTGTTCAGTCAGTGGCAGGTGGACATACAGCACCCACTGTTCAGTCAGTGGCAGGTGGACATACAGCACCCACTGTTCAGTCAGTGGCAGGTGGACATACAGCCAGGCGCGTACGCAGGGTCACCTCTAGGGGGGTTTCCAAGCGAATCGCAAACACTGACTCGTTTAACCCTTTCTAAAGAGCCCTACGAATTTTTCAAAATTATGCATTTTTTCGTGTTCTTTTTGGATCATAACTTCAGTTCTATTCATTATCTTAGGCTTCCTGGAAGTGGAAAGGTAGACCTACCAGGGAGAGAATGAGTTCGACCATGATAGCCAGGACTCAGTACAGCCATCTACATATCCAGTGCTATGTGCGATAGCGGTAGAGTGCAGCGATGGTGCGAAAAAATGCCCCAAACTGCACTGGGCTTCGGCGCGAAGGCCCAAACGCGTCCTGCTCCAGCGATTTCGTTTTTCTTGATCGCAGAGTTTCGATTCTTTTGCTGTGTACTCTTGAAAATATCACACGTGAAGCCCCTGCAAATTTGAGCAAGTCAGCGTGACGAAAAGTCTCAAATTCTCGATACTCGAGAGTCGCACTGCGGTGACTGCGCGCTTTTGAAATTGCAAGATCGCGGCTCAACTTACGAACGATTTATCTCAAGAGACATTGCTCGCAGCGCGTCGTAAATAGGTTCAACTGATAGCTGAGAGTTTTCTATTCGATCTGGATATTTGGATCGTTGGATTCGGAGATTTGACTGAGTTACGATCTGTTGAAGTTTTGCATTCTTGCCAGATCGATCGTGAGCCCTACCAAAATATGCCCAAAACCGTTGCTCGTTTGGAACATTTGGGGGGTTTCCGGGCAACGGGAAACCCCCCTGCGTACGCGCCTGACAGCACCCACTGTTCAGTCAGTGGCAGGTGGACATACAGCACCCACTGTTCAGTCAGTGGTAGGTGGACATACAGCACCCACTGTTCAGTCAGTGGCAGGTGGACATACAGCACACACTGTTCAGTCAGTGGCAGGTGGACGACATACAGCAGAAACAAGTACATGTCTATTCCAGCGAGTTGCAGCCTTGGAGCTGTGCAGCCATGTCTTGTTTCGTCTCCGCAGAGAGGGAATAAACATTCTGCTGTTGCGCTGGTCACAGGGAGCTGGTCACAGGGAGCTGGTCACAGGGAGCTGGTCACAGGGAGCTGGTCACAGGGAGCTGGTCACAGGGAGCTGGTCACAGGGAGCTGGTCACAGGGAGCTGGTCACAGGGAGCTGGTCACAGGGAAGGTGGTCACAGGGAAGGTGGTCACAGGGAAGGTGGTCACAGGGAGCTGGTCACAGGGAGCTGGTCACAGGGAGCTGGTCACAGGGAGCTGGTCACAGGGAGCTGGTCACAGGGAGCTGGTCACAGGGAGCTGGTCACAGGGAGCTGATCACAGGGAGCTGGTCACAGGGAGCTGGTCACAGGGAGCTGGTCACAGGGAAGGTGGTCACAGGGAGCTGGTCACAGGGAGCTGGTCACAGGGAGCTGGTCACAGGGAAGGTGGTCACAGGGAGCTGGTCACAGGGAGCTGGTCACAGGGAAGGTGGTCACAGGGAAGGTGGTCACAGGGAAGGTGGTCACAGGGAGCTGGTCACAGGGAGCTGGTCACAGGGAGCTGGTCACAGGGAGCTGGTCACAGGGAGCTGGTCACAGGGAGCTGGTCACAGGGAGCTAGTCACAGGGAGCTGGTCACAGGGAAGGTGGTCACAGGGAGCTGGTCACAGGGAGCTGGTCACAGGGAGCTGGTCACAGGGAAGGTGGTCACAGGGAGCTGGTCACAGGGAGCTGGTCACAGGGAGCTGGTCACAGGGAAGGTGGTCACAGGGAGCTGGTCACAGGGAGCTGGTCACAGGGAGCTGGTCACAGGGAAGCTGGTCACAGGGAGCTGGTCACAGGGAGCTGGTCACAGGGAGCTGGTCACAGGGAGCTGGTCACAGGGAGCTGGTCACAGGGAAGGTGGTCACAGGGAGCTGGTCACAGGGAGCTGGTCACAGGGAGCTGGTCACAGGGAGCTGGTCACAGGGAGCTGGTCACAGGGAGCTGGTCACAGGGAGCTGGTCACAGGGAGCTGGTCACAGGGAAGGTCACAGGGAGCTGGTCACAGGGAGCTGGTCACAGGGAGCTGGGCACAGGGAAGGTGGTCACAGGGAGCTGGTCACAGGGAGCTGGTCACAGGGATGGTCACAGGGAAGGTCCCAGGGAGCTGGTCCCAGGGAGCTGGTCACAGGGAGCTGGTCACAGGGAGCTGGTCACAGGGAAGGTGGTCACAGGGGTCACAGGGAAGGTGGTCACAGGGGTCACAGGGGTCACAGGGAGCTGGTCACAGGGAGCTGGTCACAGGGAAAGTGGTCACAGGGGTCACAGGGAAGGTGGTCACAGGGGTCACAGGGGTCACAGGGAGCTGGTCACAGGGAGCTGGTCACAGGGAAGATGGTCACAGGGGTCACAGGGAAGGTGGTCACAGGGGTCACAGGGGTCACAGGGAAGGTCACAGGGAGCTGGTCACAGGGAGCTGGTCACAGGGAGCTGGTCACAGGGAAGCTGGTCACAGGGAGCTGGTCACAGGGAGCTGGTCACAGGGAGCTGGTCACAGCGAGCTGGTCACAGGGATGGTCACAGGGAGCTGGTCACAGGGATGGTCACAGGGAGCTGGTCACACGGAGCTGGTCACAGGGAGCTGGTCACAGGGAGCTGGTCACAGGGATGGTAACAGGGAGCTGGTCACAGGGAGCTGGTCACAGGGATGGTCACAGGGAGCTGGTCACAGGGAAGGTGGTCACAGGGAGCTGGTCACAGGGGTCACAGGGAGCTGGTCACAGGGAAGGTGGTCACAGGGGTCACAGGGAGCTGCTCACAGGGAGCTGGTCACAGGGAAGGTGGTCACAGGGAAGCTGGTTACAGGGAGCTGGTCACAGGGAAGCTGGTCACAGGGAAGGTGGTCACAGGGGTCACAGGGAGCTGGTCACAGGGAAGGTCACAGGGAGTTGGTCACAAGGAGCTGGTCACAGGGAGCTGGTCACAGGGAAGGTCACAGGGAGCTGGTCACAGGGAGCTGGTCACAGGGAGCTGGTCACAGGGAGCTGGTCACAGGGAGCTGGTCACAGGGAGCTGGTCACAGGGAGCTGGTCACAGGGAGCTGGTCACAGGGAGCTGGTCTCAGGGAGCTGGTCTCAGGGAGCTGGTCACAGGGAGCTGGTCACAGGGATGGTCACAGGGAGCTGGTCACAGGGAGCTGGTCACAGGGAGCTGGTCACAGGGAGCTGGTCACAGGGAAGCTGGTCACAGGGAAGCTGGTCACAGGGAGCTGGTCACAGGGAGCTGGTCACAGGGAGCTGGTCACAGGGAGCTGGTCACAGGGAGCTGGTCACAGGGAGCTGGGCACAGGGAAGGTGGTCACAGGGAAGGTGGTCACAGGGAGCTGGTCACAGGGAGCTGGTCACAGGGAGCTGGTCACAGGGAGCTGGTCACAGGGAGCTGGTCACAGGGAGCTAGTCACAGGGAGCTGGTCACAGGGAAGGTGGTCACAGGGAGCTGGTCACAGGGAGCTGGTCACAGGGAGCTGGTCACAGGGAAGGTGGTCACAGGGAGCTGGTCACAGGGAGCTGGTCACAGGGAGCTGGTCACAGGGAAGGTGGTCACAGGGAGCTGGTCACAGGGAGCTGGTCACAGGGAGCTGGTCACAGGGAAGCTGGTCACAGGGAGCTGGTCACAGGGAGCTGGTCACAGGGAGCTGGTCACAGGGAGCTGGTCACAGGGAGCTGGTCACAGGGAAGGTGGTCACAGGGAGCTGGTCACAGGGAGCTGGTCACAGGGAGCTGGTCACAGGGAGCTGGTCACAGGGAGCTGGTCACAGGGAGCTGGTCACAGGGAGCTGGTCACAGGGAGCTGGTCACAGGGAGCTGGTCACAGGGAGCTGGTCACAGGGAGCTGGTCACAGGGAGCTGGGCACAGGGAAGGTGGTCACAGGGAGCTGGTCACAGGGAGCTGGTCACAGGGATGGTCACAGGGAAGGTCCCAGGGAGCTGGTCCCAGGGAGCTGGTCACAGGGAGCTGGTCACAGGGAGCTGGTCACAGGGAAGGTGGTCACAGGGGTCACAGGGAAGGTGGTCACAGGGGTCACAGGGGTCACAGGGAGCTGGTCACAGGGAGCTGGTCACAGGGAAAGTGGTCACAGGGGTCACAGGGAAGGTGGTCACAGGGGTCACAGGGGTCACAGGGAGCTGGTCACAGGGAGCTGGTCACAGGGAAGATGGTCACAGGGGTGACAGGGAAGGTGGTCACAGGGGTCACAGGGGTCACAGGGAAGGTCACAGGGAGCTGGTCACAGGGAGCTGGTCACAGGGAGCTGGTCACAGGGAAGCTGGTCACAGGGAGCTGGTCACAGGGAGCTGGTCACAGGGAGCTGGTCACAGCGAGCTGGTCACAGGGATGGTCACAGGGAGCTGGTCACAGGGATGGTCACAGGGAGCTGGTCACACGGAGCTGGTCACAGGGAGCTGGTCACAGGGAGCTGGTCACAGGGATGGTAACAGGGAGCTGGTCACAGGGAGCTGGTCACAGGGATGGTCACAGGGAGCTGGTCACAGGGAAGGTGGTCACAGGGAGCTGGTCACAGGGGTCACAGGGAGCTGGTCACAGGGAAGGTGGTCACAGGGGTCACAGGGAGCTGCTCA